GTCTTGACCATGTCTACATGCCTAAATGCACTGAGTTGCCGCCATGTGATTGGCTGATTAGAAATTAAGTGTTAACGAGCAGTTGGACAGGTGTACCAAATAAAGTGGCCGGTGAGTGTATATAAATAATGAAAGCAATACTAAACTCCTAAGGTGCTAACTGACTTTTTTTAGTGTTAATTCACACTCAAAGTGTGAATCCAGTCCACATGCCAGAGAAACTGCCACTGAAACTCACATTAAATCAAACTATATATTTATATATTGTAAATAATATAATAAAATTGAATAAAAATTAATCAAACTCCACATGGGAATTAAGAAGCATAATTGCTCAGTTTTTTTGTTTGAAAGTACCCACCTTTAACAGTGGCTGTTCTTTTACAGTTGTACAAGATGGCCAGTTCTCCGAATGCTGTGCCGGGACGCATTTCTCCCAACAGTTTCCCATTCTGGATCACCTCCAGTAAACCCTCTGTGCAAACAAACAACAAAAAAAAACAAACAAAAAAAAAAAACACAGCGGTCAGTCTCTATGCATCATCTACATTTTCTTTAAATAAATACATGCAGCCATTGGAGAGTTTTGTCACCGTCATAAGCAGTCCTTGATTTCATGTTTGAGCTTTATTTTATCGTTCTACCAAACAATAAAATGTTATAAGGTAAGGTGTCATGTAGAGTAAACCAGATGTTGGTTTGTGGCAGGGGGAGAAGCTGGGCAGAGGTTCAGGAAACCATGCCAGGAGACAATGTTTGAAACAGTGGAGTGCCATTTCTGATCAGTTTTTTTCCTTCATATAGTGGCCAGCTGGGAAGAGCAGAAAACACCCAAAACAACTAATGTGAAAATTCTCAACTCGGCTGTTTTAAAGTTAGTCTTACTATAATGCATTGAAACAATAACAGTACTGTCCAATATTTTTGATGTTATTGTATACCAGTAAACCTCAATATTTCTCCACGTGTATCTAAGCCAACCTGCCAAAACATAGAGGTAATTTCCAGCTTCCCCTTCTTGGATGACCAGTTGCCCCTCTGAGTAAAGCTTCTCATACATAGAGTCCACCATCTCCCTCATGTGCTGTGGCTCCAGCTTGTTCAGAAAGTCGTTACTCATGATGGCATCATTGATGAGCCTCCTGTTGCTGGAATAAAAACAAGCAAAAAGCAATTATTATAAGCCAATACATGATTTATTCCTAAAYCACAATGACACAGAAAATGTGACTTGTTGATTTAAAGTGCACAACCCTTGCCCTTATAACCCAAACACCTTGTTTTGCTTGCACCTTTTAGTTCTCCATGTTCTGTTTGAATAGTCTTCTAATATTCAATATGTATTGTATTACATTTTAAGACTGCATCAAAAAGAAAAAAATTGTRTAGGTCTTCTGGACGGGTTCTTCTCTAATGAAACGTTTCGTCTCTCCTCCAAGAGACTTCTTCAGTCTGAGAGTTTCAGGCAAAATTCAGGCTTTTAAGCCCTCAGACTGAAGAAGTCTCTTGGAGGAGAGACGAAACGTTCCATTATAGAAGAACCCGTCCAGAAGACCTATACAATTTTTTTCTTTTTGATTTTTTACCTGGATTACTGAGATGCATCAGGACATTTTGAACCATTAAGACTGCATGTTGTAGATTTGCCTAGAAGTTATACTTGGACACAGCTGTTATGTCAGTATTATTTTGCACCTTTTATGGTTGTACAAGCTATGGCAATCTTGTTAGCAGTTTGAATTTATTCAGCAGATTTTTCTTGCATGTGTTTATATGCCCCTGATTACCACATCACACAAATGATGTCGCACTGCATTTGGTTAAAAGGAGCCTAGTAATTAGGTCAAATGCTGTTAGGCCAGCAGAGGCAGTGTTATTGAGGCCCACAATGACCCGGTCTCAGCATTTAGATCCAATGACCTTTTGTCTCTGGTCTTGTCTCTGTTATCATGCCATGCTAATCAAGCCTTTCAGACGAGGGCTTTGTCACAAAAGCTTGCCTGTGTCCTCGCATCGTTCTGTTTTCTGTTTGTATGGATTATTGTTTATCCCYTCTTTCAAATGACAATAGTTCTCTTACTGATTATTGCTGAATTTAGTCAAATGAAGAAATGTATTTTTGATTCAGCCCCCTCCCCCTGGTTTTGTTACACTAACATTTTCTACAGGCAACATGTATTCCCTATAAAAAAAAAAATCAAGTTTTATTTTTTGTGAGAATATCCTAGCAACTGTTTGTAGTCTGCCAATAATAACACTACAAACAATCTTTGCCTGAAATCCCAACATCTAAAAATTTTCTTCTCTGCAGCTCAATGGGAAGCAGACAAAATGCCTAAATGTGTAAACTGTACAACAAATGTATTAAGAACCAAAATGAAAAGAAATGTTAAAGCAGCTACCAGTGGGCCACCATGACAAACGCACACCCATCGGTCACTCCCTGACATCACTAAGACAGAATTGTGGAGAAGACAATAAGCCTTCTAAAAGAAAATTCTGACCTCAGATCTGATGTAAGTCCAAAAGAGTGACTTGTGATTTCTGTGTTGATTAGAGGAAAAAAATTGTAAATCATTTTAACAGTGAGAGACACATTGAATAAAAGAAGACAAATGTGATGTGCTAGGTGTTGAAGTATAAACCGTAAGTCAGCTATTTGTGACCTCATTAATCTTTAAAGGACATTTCCACTTGAAATTTGCCTGAGCTGTAGACAGAAGTGGTGTTTCTCAATCATTGTGTTTGTGCATGTTGTGCAGTTTTTTTTTTTGTGAATTTCAACTACACAATGTACGGCTGCCAAAAACCATATAGTTCTGATAAAGCTGCATATTCTGATGGAGTTTTTGTACAAATTTTTCAAACTAATAATGGAGGCTGAGCTAAATGTTGAGTCTCCATCTTCTGCCACTWAACTGCAGTTGAGCCATGGAAACAAAAGTTCCAGGAGAGAAACCCAAACATCCCTCTATCCAGCAACACACTCTAGCTTGTCCTGGGGGACCCAAAGAATTTCCCAGGTCAGAGAGGATATACGTATAATCCCATCAGGAAGTCCTGGGTCTCGTTTTTTTTGGGTCATGAGCCAAAAACAGCCAATCTTGGCCAAAAAATTTATCACGATTATTTGTCATATTTAGCCGATAATGATTGATGATTAATCCCCTGGGGTCTCTGGACACCCTTATATCCTAGTTACAGGACTAGTTTAAATCACTCCAGTGGGAAAGATATGCTCTCCATAAAAATCTGTTCAAAATTGTGTCAAAAGTCCTGAATTCAGGCCATACATCAATTTTTCAATTGTGTTGATTAACCAAGTAAAACTGGCATTATGATTAATAAATTACAGAACTTTGGTTGTAAATGTTTGTCATATTTGAAGAAGAGAGGAGCACCAAGTGGACTGACGGCATAAATGTTATTAATTGTCAAGTGCCAAAAAATTATCGATTAAAGTTTTTCTGACGATTAATTGCACACGATACAATTTTGCCCAACCCTACAATCTGCTAATAAAAAAGGGCCTCAAGAATGCCACCACTCYCAGTGGGAACCTCTCAGTTTACTGAGGCCTCAAGAGTCATTTTGACCCAAAGGCAACAGGAGGGTTAAACGTCACCAGAAAGGTTTAAAAACAGCTAAAGTACCACATTAAAACCTGGGAAGATTTTCTCTTTTTCACTTTCTTTAGTTAATCTTTAATTATGTAATAATTTATCTGCCATGTCAGAACATGAATTTAGCAGCATACAAAGAGGGAGGAGTTTTAAATTCAACACACATTGTGTGAGTTCACTTACTGTGAGTCTTTACGGAAGATCTTTGTGGTGGAAACCTCTGATGGTCTGAATCCTCCACAGAAGTTCTCAGATGTTGGCTCTGCAGAGACACCTTCCTTTGCTTTGAGCCTGCGGTGGACCTCCGCAGCCACCCTGTGGAAGCGGCTCGGACCTTGGTTGATGACACTTAAGCAACGAAAGCTGCGGCGGTAAAGGGACGGGGGCAGGCGGCTCAGACTTTTGTTGTAGCAAATTGCATCCTGGAGCTTCTCGACCTGAGTGACCTTGGCTTCTAGTTCTTTCTGCAGATGCTGCAGCCGGAGTTCCTGAGCATGAAAATCTTTTTCCCGTTGGGCCAGCTCTGCCTCTAAATGGATAATTCGCAACCTGTAGATATGGAAGGATTCTGTCATTGGGTACCCAGAAAAACTTAAGTCAGTGATCTCAAACTGAGTCAACTTTTTGAAATCACAGTAGATATAAAGGAAGTTTAAACTAAATGTCAAACACAGCTCTACACAATAGTCAACAGATTCATTTATTTTCTTTTATGAATAAAATTTAATTATCAACATTAAAGACACAGTGTGTATGATTTGCTGTTTTCAGTGACGTCTAGTGGTTGAGTGGTTGAATCATCCTCCCTGGTCCTCCCCCCACCCCCATCCCACGCTTCCAAACGCAAAGGAGTTGCTACGGTGTCCCTCAGGTGTCAAAAACCTTTGATAATTCCAACCGCAATGTCTACCAGCAGCTTCAGGGCTAGTGATGTTTCAAGTGGTAAGATTATGAGCTTTAATAAGTAAAATCATCCTAGCTACAAAGACAGACAACAAATATTAATAAATTTATATGTTTCATTAGTGCTACTGTAAAHATTATCTAAATGTTTTATGTAAGAAAAACAAGGTAATGTAGCAACGTTACAACTTCACTGTAGACAGATAAGGCTGGCAGGAAAATGATTTATCTCCATWGTCAGATTCATCCGTCAATATCACTGATAACAGAGGAAGAGGCAGAGTTAGAGGAAACTAAAACCGTCTTTGGCACCGCCACCGCAGTTTGTTCTTCACGAGCCTTCGTAGACAAGATGGCGTCTGCCTGTAGTGGCGACCCGCGGCCATGGAGATGTAAACAGCTTTTTATAAGGTAAAAATAATAAAACAAGGTCTTTGTCTGCAATGATTAGACATGTTTTTTTATTATTGTCAATGATTATCTCAATTTTGGCTAAAAGAATTGACAAAATCCTACACATTGTGCCTTTAAAATGTACTATGTGCCATATTTTCTGGTAAAAAAAAAGCTCTTTTTAACTACAAGGAAAATTTTTATGGAGCTTGATTCAGCCATTTAAAAACCGTACATTTATTGGCTCAAACATAATTTTTTTTATATTTTTTTTCTTTACCTTCTTCACCCTGTTCAAATGCAAGGATCTGGTGCCCATAGTGTACACCAGGGGTGTCAAACTAATGTTCACCGAGGGCCACATGAGCGTTATGGTGGCCCTCAAAGGGCCAGTTGTTCCCATGGATGATCGGCATGCAATATGGGAGATTAGGTTTATGGCCAATGTTGGATTTAAAGCAGCTTATTTAAAGTCATTATAAGACATTATTACTGAGTTGTCTAACTAAACTGCTCAGTTACATATAGCCGACAGCTCAGACGGAAGTCACAGGCCTTGAGTTTGACACATGTGGTGCACACCCTGGATTGGTCACCAGTAAAAGACTGGTGGTCCATTGTGGTTGCTTTGCGCTCACTTGACCTCCACACACAGTCATTGAGTTGACCTTGTGTGTACCAATTCTGAACAGCTAAAGCTTGACCAAGACTAGCTCATAAAACAGGACAATACTCCCAACAACAGCAGCAGATCGAAAACAGAATGGCTCAAAAATGAGAAGAATCATGTTGTTGAAACAAAGAATGGGTCAAAAATGTCAAGACACTGATAAAATCATGCAGAATTTGATAGTTTAAAGTTGCTTGTTTACTTATGGTTGGATGTCCATGTAAAACACCTCCCTCACACAGTGGATTCTGTTATGTTTTTGCACATTTAGATGAGATTTTAATAATTTTAGAACTTGATGAAGATCAGATCGTTTTGATATGTCCTAAAACCTAAAACCCTACAAATTAAAATGGGTGAACTTTCTTTCATCCTATGATTGTATGACATGTTCTTCACATGACCTAATTTGCATTATTTTAAAAACATTTTTACTCCAAAGGACATTGTTCCACAAGTCTTATGGTTTATTCAGATAAAACTCTGCAAACCTGAGCTGACTGGTACCTTTTTTTTTTTTTTTACCAAATGATGTATGACCTAATACTAAAACTGTGCCCCTGCCTTTTATTGGTGATTGCCATCACCAGGCCCCCAGCAGTCTGAATAGGATTAGTTACAGGGAAAAAAAATGGATGTCATAAATATAAAATCTTAAAAGTTACAAAGGGTATTTCTCCAAGGTCTGTATGTAACACAACATACACACCAAACAGATCAATCTTTAATGTAATGGTTCTTGAACTTTCAACATATGACACAAAAAAGAACAGAGATTTAAGCTTCAAAGTGTTTCTGGTTAAAACATATTCAAACTTTGCTAACAGGCCAAATAAACAAGAGCATTATGACAACAAAAACTTTGTCAACAACAATTATATGTACTGTACTTCTTTTATCCAAGTATAACGAAGCTTTTTGTCACTTGAAACAATTATAGCAACAACATGTTAAATTTGCAACACCATTGGTGCTTTATGACACAGTGGGATCCCACAACCCCGACTTTGGGAACCACGGCACAAACTATTGTATTAAAAGCTAAAGGTTTTCTACAGCAAAAGCACAATATAATGTTTAATTCTAACCTGAGAAGATTTGTTTCCAAGCCAGGAAGGTCTGTGTGGATGGGGGCCAGGCAGCTGTTCTCCTCAGGCTGTGGGGCATTTATTGAACCGTTGCCCATGACCAGGCACTGCCTCAACACCATAAGGATGGCTCACGCCAACCTTACCACAGCAACAGCGTTTGATGACACTGTAGCCAGGGAAGGTGCTTTWTTATTACGTCTATTCTGAATCGTAAAACTGAAAACAAAAGAAGACAGGCACCATTTACACATCAGTCACTGGTAACATTAAATTAAAACATTTTCAATGATATACTTACCACAAACTACAGGATATGAACTTGTATTACAAAGTCTAGTTTGGTGCTCCTAATGCTGTACAGAGCAGTTTATTAAATACATCCAGTAGAACATACCTGTCCCTGCTCTCATGTAGCCACCTGCTCGTCTCAAATTAATCTTCTTCCAAATCTGCTCAGTCTCTATAAAATTTTCAAGAATATTTTGGTAAGGCTTTAAAGACTGGCTGATGAATGTGTCCAAAATTATCCAGAGGGTTTGGAATGTTAAGCATTTCTCCTTAGTTTTATTTTGCTTCTACAATTCCACACAGCCTACTCAGCTGCTGGTCACAAGCTGAACGCTTCTCCTCTGCTCCTCTGCTGGACTGGGAGGGATCTCAGAGCTGCCAGGGATCTGAAAGTATCTGGCAGCCCCTGCTGGGCAAATGTTTTTTTTTTTTTTTTTTGATAGATGCAAACAGAAGAAGAGAGAAAGTGGAGGTTTTGAGTACTTGATTGAAAAATGTTTAACCAGAACTAGCAGAGGTGTATAGTAACTATTTACTATGTTACAGTATTTAAGTAATTTATTTGAGGATTTCCTATTTGACAAAGTTTTTGAATCTGAACTTTTACTTTTATTTTGTTACACTTAATACATGATACTTTTACTTCTTTACTTTAAAATTTAACCCCTCGTTACAAATTTAAATATGACCAAACTAATCATGAAAAGAGTTGCACTCTAATAAATGAAGTGTTGAATTTAACCAAGTTATTTCAGCTGATTCCACTGAACCGAGCTGAGTAAATATAAAGCAAGTTACACATTTTATAGTTACTCAACTCACTTTAGTGGAACCAGTTTGGTTAAATAAATCCAACACTCCATCTCTTAGAGAGTTTGTAAAACTACATTACTTTTATTTTGCAGATTATTATGAACAGTTTTGTCACTTTTATTTAAATACGTTCTTTATCAGTGAAACATATTTTTACCAAAATCATTTTCTGTTAATCTAGTTTTAATTTTACTAAGTTACTTCTTTTAGGTAAGTTAAATACCCCTGGGAGCCAGTACATTTGAAAACCACACACACACACACACACTACACCACACATTAATTAGATCAATAAAATGGTTATATTCTTTCATGCATCGACTGATCATTAAGGCTTTCATCTGTGTCTTTTAAATGTCTTCATTTTAGGTCTGAAATTTTTGAGACTTGCAGATATTTTGATTTTCAGACCATATACACCACGTTCCCTATTATGAAAATTATATTTAAGTGTCATATGATAAAAACATTTATTGATAGATTTGTGTCTCATGGATCTTTGGGTCACTGAAGTCAGTCTCAGACACCTGTGATTATTAGTTTGCCAGTTGAGCCCAATTAAAAGAAAAACTACCAAAGAAGGATGTTCCACATTATTAGGCAGACCACCAGAATATATTTGCTGCCAAAAGGTGGCGGAGTGTTTAAGGGAGTCATCCTCTAACCAGAGAGTTGGCGGTTTGATTCCCCGCCATTCAGTCACATAAATAATTGTCTCTGGGCACCCATATTACCTCTGATGTGTCCCAGCAGTTGAATGTGATTTAAAGCACTGCATAGTCTCTGTAGATACATAATAAAGTGCTGTGTGAATGTGTAAATGAGAACACAGATTGTATTGTAAAGCACTCTGAGTTTCCTGACTGGATAAAAAGGCTCCATGTAAGTACAGTCCATTTACCAAAAWTTGTGAAATATTTGAATGTGTTGTACAAGGTTTGGAAACCTTAGATATTTCACAAAAACTTGAGTGTGATCATCGTACTGTTAAGACTCTCACTGCGCACTTCATGTGCATGTTGTTTGGACCAGTCTAACCAGGAGAAAAGTTGTGTCCAAGCAGAAACTGTGATTGTGTTGTTTAGGCTCTCTGTATTTTTGGTCATGTTATAGTTTTTGGACATGATTATCTCATTGGTAGCTTGGGGGCTGAGAWATTACTGTACTGGATTGTTTCTAGGTTTGAGAAAGAGTGTGAATGGTTTGGCTCTGTGTATCCCTGCGATGGACAAGTGACCTGTCCAGAGTGCCACCCATCTCTCTCACAGAGACTGCTGCAGACAGACACCACCTCCCTGCTGGAAAATGAAAAAGCAACTAAAGAGAATGGAAGGATGATTTGCTTTATTATGAGTTAAATTGTTTTGTCGCTTTAGTACAGAACACTGAAACTGTTTGGCAATCAGTGACAACAGCTGCCATTTTTAGGATTATAAAAGTAAAAATTAGCTTTGAAAAAAAAAACAAAAACAAAGAAAAAACATGAAAACTTCAGAAACATTTTGTTCTGATGTAACTAAACAAAGATTCATCATTTGGACTGCAGTGTACACCTCAACTGTTTGATTTCAGAGAAACAATCTTAACAATAACAACAACAATAAAATAAAATAAAATAAAATAAAACAAAATAAAATAAAACAAAATAAACCAACTATACAACTCACTTAAATTCCAGAACTGTGCACATAGCGTCAGGAAGGTAGTTCAGATGGCAGACAGCTTTACAGAAAAAAGGACAGTATGTCTCTTGTAATATTTTATTATTAATAAAGGAAAAATTGTAAATAATGCTTCATACAGGATAAACAGTAGCATGCAAATCTTCATAATGCCCACTTATCCATCATCAGACATTGTAATCTTAAAAAAAATAAATCTCAAATCATCATATTAAATCAAGGTCCTGATGTATCTCAGTAATCCAGGTGAAAAATCAAAAAGAAAAAAAATTGTATAGGTCTTCTGGACGGGTACTTCTATAATGAAACGTTTCGTCTCTCCTCCAAGAGACTTCTTCAGTCTGAGAGTTTCAGGCAAAATTCAGGCTTTTAAGTCCTGCCYCCATGTGTATCAGTCACATGGAGGCAGGGCTTAAAAGCCTGAATTTTGCCTGAAACTCTCAGACTGAAGAAGTCTCTTGGAGGAGAGACGAAACGTTTCATTATAGAAGTACCCGTCCAGAAGACCTATACAATTTTTTTTCTTTTTGATATTAAATCAAGGGTTTTACTTTCACCAACACTGATAAAGCTGTTTATATTTCTGTAGAAATTATAATCATTTTTGTTTTTAGCAAATATAACTTTTCAAATCTGTACAAAAACTCCAAGACCTACAGAAGAACCAAACATAGAAACAACCATGTATCCCCTCCTGTAAACACCTACAGAACGTGTTGGTTAATATCAATAAGTTGAATTATAGAATGGGCTGTTACCTTTTTTATAAGTAGTGAGGGTAAATCATGTTAAACGTATGGAACTCTCACTGAAAAATGATAAGTTCATTTGATTTACAGCAAATGTATTTTTTACTGTATTCATTCTGACCCATTTGTTTATGTGAACAAAAGTATAAACAGCACTTTGCAGGTAGAAGTGAACAAACCAACAGAGGATGTAAAAAAAGATGTTCAAGGTTCCAGTGGAGTAGAGCCTGTGCAGCTGAAGTCAGAGAATCACATCATTTATGTTTATTTCCTCCTTTGTTTGGCTATATTGATGTTATACCTTTTAAAAATGAGATATTTAATTGTAAAACAAAAACAAAAATTGTCTTAAGCTCAGCAGAAGGCTGCACAAAAAAGACCAAGAACACAATTAAATGGCTAAAAAAACTGAAGAGAGTCGTTTGAAATTTTGGTCAACTTATTAGGATTCTCGGACAAGGACTCAACGACCTGAGTGTACAAACTGGAGCCAAGGAGCGAAAATGGAGTCATGAAGTTTGTTAAAAAAATGCTTTTTTGAAAATTTTATAAAAATTTTGAAACTGAAAAATTATTTGAAACAAATAAAAAAAATTAACTGAGAAATTTGAAACAGAAAAAAATTACCTTGTATGTTTTGTCACAAAGGCCTACCACAGTTTTAATTATTTGATACAACGGCTTACCATAGTTTTAATTATTTGATACAACAGCCATAATATTTGATTGAATGATAAAATGGCATGCCATACACCACAAAGACAAGAAAAAAACACAATTAAATGGCTGCAATTCGAAGAGAAAATCATTTAGCTAAGTTTGTAGCTACAACTGCTTGCGTTTTTTGTTGTCCTCAAAACTGTCAGGATCAAAATCAAGAGACATTAAAACTTGACTTTCTAGAGAAAACATAAGCAGTAACAAGGTTTTTGTCCTGTTCCTTGCCCTCTCAGTAGATCTTTTACAACATTTTGGCAGTAGTATACCCCCCCACCCCCCAGAACTGCTTCATTCCACAACTGATCATTAACAAGAACAGGTGTTCCTCATTGCTGTCAGCATACATTGGCAGGTATAAGGTAGACTTCTGGTATTCTGTGTCAAATTAATATTAATTATTTTCATAGGACAACCTGGTTTCTAAAAAAATGTTATCAAAGACAAAACTGTAAATGTATTCAAACTGTCAGTGAGATTTAGAAAACTGCAAAAGGGACACACCACCTGAAATCTTGCCTAGGGCTTCAAATTGGCTAGGGCCGGTCCTGCTCACAATGCTTGGGTAAAATGTCTTTTGGTCTGACAATGGTTTGATGTGCTGCCTGAATAAAACTCTAGTCTGGGCAAAGGGTTGTGTTAAATTCAGACCGGTTTCCTCGCTCAAGTAGTACATTTCTAATCATCAGAGTATTCTCAATTGTTGAAATAAACAAATGTCTGCATAGAAGAACAAAACCTTCTGAAATCTGAAAAGTTGGGAACTTGTGTGAAGTTTAAATAAAAGCAGATAATTTGGTAATTTTGAATATGATAGCAGCTACAGCCCTAAAAACATTGAGACTGGCCAATAAAGGGCTGTAAAAGTAAGTGGTATGAATAATACTATTAATAATAGAAAACTGCTGGAGGAATATTTTGTAATAAATAAGGTTTTCAACAGCTTAGTAAGAGAAGTGAGCATTTTAGAGAGGCTAAATCAATCCAAAGTAAAGATAGGCAGAGGTTCACCAGTCTGTGAAAAACTTCATCTAAAAAAGAAACTGTTTCAGCTCTTCAACCAAATCTGGGAAGATTTTGAATATCCCATCATTTGTAGTTCATAATATCATGAAAAAAAAATCAATAATCTGGAGAAATCCTTGTGTTCGAACTACAAGGTTGAAAGACAAAATGAGTAGCGTTATCTTCAGGCCCTTGGGCGATACAACATAAAACAGATCTGATTCTGTTCACTGCATGAACTCACGAACACTTACACAGATTGGTGTCTGGAAACACATTTCAATGTGCCATCCATAAATGTTGATTAAAAGCTCTATCATGCATAGAAGAAGTTGTATGTGAACACCATCCAGAAACACCACAGTCTTCTATTGGCCAAAGCTCATTTAAATGCAATTTTAAATGAGCTTTTGAGGCAAAGTCAAAAAACTGGAAAAGCATTTTTAACGCAGAGAAGTATATAAAGGTTTTGGAACATGTTTTTTTTTAACAAGACAACACTAAATGTCATACTGCATGCACAACAACAATATAGCTTTGTAGTAAACAAATCTAGGTACTGAACTGACCTGTCTGCTGTTCAGACCTCTTTCTAATTGAAACAATTTGGTGAATCATGAAACAAAACATCCAGCAAAGAGCTAGGACTGCTGAACAGATAAAACTAAAATAAAATAATAAAACAAAAGTGGGACATTAACCTCTAAAAACTCCAACCACTGGTCTCAGTTCTGGGAAGTTTACAGAAGAGAGAAGGGGGTCTCTGCAGTCACTAAGTGGAGTTTCTTGAATGGAAGGAGTTTGGTCTGTTTGACTTTTCTGGGAGGATTTTGGTAAAGAGCTGATTGGTTGGATTGACTATTTTAGGTGCAGTTTGAAGAAGCCATAACAACTGCATTGGATGAATACTGGACTGCTGGGAGAATATGTAGCTCAGTTGAAACAAACAGAAAACACATTTATGTTTTAAATATAAAATATTAATTTTAGTCAAAACTTGAGACAAGGTGCTAGTCGCATCTAATTTGAAGTAAATAAATTGTGCTTACATGTTCACCATAATTTTTCTTTGATACATTGTTCTGCTCCAAACTATAGTCAATAAACTACATTTACATGTTCACAATAATTTTACTATTGTTACTTCGTCTTTTAACTTGCCCACAATACAAGTCAATCCGATCAATCGCAGACTTTGCAAAGCTCCGCCCACACCAAGACCTGCATCAATGTACTGCAGAGACCCCCGCAGCAGGAGGGTATGATTCACTTTAGGAAACATGACCTCGTCCCAACTGTTTTTTCTTTAGATACATTGCTATAACTCAAAATCACCCTAATATCAACATTTGATATGTTTACTTTGTTCCACTGTGAATMAAATATGCATTTAAAAAATTGCAAACCATGACCTTCTGTTCTTATGTACATTTTAAACAGACTCCCAGTTTGAAATGGGCTTGTAAATTTTGAGTCACCAGTATGCGTTTTCTCAGCAACATTTAACAAAACCAGAAAAAAAAACTTAAAATGAAACAAAGCTGATGGGGATAACTTCTTGGCACAGGAACACAACACTGACTTTCCACCAATTGTATGGTACTTCTACAAATCTCTGATTGCCTCCAGCCTAAAGTGCAAGTTCTCAGCATCCTCAGAGAGCTSAATGAGGTTTGACAAAGACACATGTAGAAGTTTGATGTGAGGCGTACGATGCCAGTGACTCACCATCAGCGCACCTCAGACTGAAGTGTGCTGTGGTGGACTTGACCTAGCCTTTCCTTAAAAAAACAACAACTCATGTACTGATGCTACACTAAATGCACCCAGCTGTACTCAGTACATGGCAAACTGCCGTCCATCATAGTGGAAAAAAAACACCTTGATTACATGACCACACAGGCTCTATAAGCACAACAACACATTGAAATGATGCAGGATAAAACTACACCTCTCTCACTATGACCTTCATACAGAGCTACTACAACATCTGTTGTTGTACGGCTAATCAAAACATTCGATAATCATGCTTTCTGTCCCAGAATCCAAATTCAAACGAACATGTAATTACTCATTCACATGAAGCGTACAAAGCAAACTGGGTCAGTTAGGTTTCATACTTGTGCAAGAAATAAATGCAAAGCCTAAAGTGAAAACTGTGTAGAAACCCAGTCATGAACTGTACATAATGAGGCACTAATTTTGTAGACCACAAACAGTCCTCAGCCTTCATTCTTGGTCTAAACTATAAAAATAAAAGATTTGAGTCACCAAATACTGTATGTAAAGGGTGAGCCTAAACTGCTGTAGAATGTGAACAAAACTAAAAAAAATGTGACATTGCCTTTGAAGAAACAAAAAAGAACAAGTTTGTTAGACTTGTAAATTCTTCCAGAGTTAAAGTGGTGAAATGTTCTAACATTCATATATTAAAAAGAACAATCTACTAGAGACAAGAAAATGAAATAAACACAACAGAGCAAGATTGTGTGTTAAATGAAAAGTTTAAAAAATAATAACTACAAAATCTTTTTTATATGGTGATTGATTAGATCACTTCTCCACAACTGCATTTTTTTTTACCAAAATGTATAAATTCGTATTAGTTACATAACAATAAAGCAAATATAATGTTTTTACACTTTCAAACAACCAAACTAAAAAATAAGAAAAATAAAATAATATAAAAAGAATAAAATATATTGTTTTGACCCAGGTCTGGTTACATGGCAGCAGTTAGTCTGACATAAGGAATGCTTCAGTGCATTTGCTTTTGAATAAAACAAGGATTGTTTATGTAAATCACTGACAAAGGGCATTTTTAGCTTTTTCTGTATTTTTTAGAAATTTAACTACTTTCAACAATTAGGTTTTTGTTTTATTAAATTATTTGGATTATGTGGAAAATAAAAAATATGTCCATTGAGCATTGTCAAATATTTGCTGAGACTAGATCTGTGAAAATTATGAAATTTTGATATGAGGTCATAAAACAACATTTACTGCCTGTCATTTGTTTTTAATTAGGATATGAATGATGTTTCTTGCTGCTTATTCTATAGTTGAAACACATATTTTAGAAATCAATACATGCTATTTACAAAGATTGAGTACTTTTATACATACGTTTTATCCTATTGTACAATAATTACAAATACAGCATTAAAASGTGGTGTTTTATTAACACCACAACATAAAAAAGTTAGTATATCAAACAACTCATAAGTGTTGCTTTGAATTATCCCGATACTGCACAAAGTAAAATGCCATAAATGCAAGGGATTTTTTTTAAAGGCAGTGAATCTGATTATATCAAGAAGGAATCATGTTTGCTTCTTTGGTTTTTCATGGAAACGTGTGGCATCTGTTTGATCTGTGAGCTGCTCTGAAGTCTTYATCACAGTTACAGTAATGGTGTTACTCCATGCCTCGGCCCTACGGTTTCAAAAGTTCAAAGAAAATGCATTCAAATAAAGCCCAGCAGCTGGTGTGTGTCCATGTGATGTTATCTCATCCAGCTACGATGATGATGATGATGATGTCTGTTCTATCCAGTCTTGTTGAAGTCAGTCTGCTCCCCAGAGACTCAGTACTGGCCCTGTGTCCAGCCTCCTGGAACAATGCTAAAATGCCATCTCCAGGTTGGTTTCTAAACTCAAAGGTGTCTTGGATATCTTCAAGTTTCCTCTCTGTCGCTTCACAGAGACCTGTTTGGATTGCTACTTCTTAGCCAGCTGGAAAGGATGTTGACCCTTGAAACAAATGTGTGAACACAGATTGAATTACTTTAGGATCACCATAGATAAATAAATATTATGATTAATAAAACATACAGAGAAAAAGATCCTAGTGTAATTTCCAAAACTGCTTGATGTTTGCTTACATTTRTTTACACATGATAATTTTCAAAACTTCCCAAATTTTAGTGCAAAATTAGAATTTTGTTATCATTCAGCAATTTGGCAAGATCCTTCATTTCTTCCTGTTTGATAGAAAAAGCTTTCAAATGACTGGACTACTAAAGCAATGGGGATTAGAGAGACGAGTAGGAAGGTACTCTGTGTGTCGTCTGGACAGTGAAAGGATTACGAGTACAGCTAGCAGTGGAATAGAGAAGTGCAGAAAGCTACAAGGAGGAAGAAGGACAAGGTTACAGCCAAGAAAAAAATGCAACAGTAAGAAGACTAAAGAGAGTAGAGGCAAAGCGGGATGTAGCAACGATAAAACAAAAGATGTATTATGAGTTGTACAATTGGCTAGACACTAATGAACAGAACAGAGGTGAGAGGCTCTGTCGGACACATAGCTTCAAGGTGGAGGTGGAACTGCATCAAGAATCAACTTTGATCCTCATCTTGCTTGCTCTGGTGATGGCAGACTAACAGAGGAGGTCAGGCAGGAATCTCTGGATTAGGATGACAACATGGTCTGTTGCAAGAACTGGGAGCAGGTGGAAGAGAACTTGAAGAGGTGAAGGTGTGCACTTGAAAGAAGAGTATTGAACGTCAGCTGTAGAAAGACGGAGTGTGTGTGTGAAAGTAAAGGAAGCAGGTGGAGCAGCAAGGGTACAAGGAGCAGAGGTCACAAAGATGCTGGACTTCTAGTTTAGGTCGCCTGTCCAGGAAAATGAGAACTGTGGTAAAAAGGTGAAGAAGAGAGTCCAGGGAGGATGGAGTGTTTGGAGAAAAGTTTCAGGAGAGACAAAAAGGGTGGCCCAAAGAAAGGTGGTCAAGAGAGTGGTGAGACCAGCTGTTGTAAGGTTTAGAAACATTGACAAAAAGACAGGAGACAAAAGTGGAAGTGGCAAAACTGAAGATGTTGAGGTTCTTGGGAGTGACAAAAATGGATGACGCTATGTTCAGACCAAACGCGAGTTCAGCATCAGGGATGTCTGGTTTACATGCAAAGTCTATGGAGAACGCATGTGTAGGGACATCACAGAGTCTYGCTGTGCATCAAGTGTGACATCTTTTGAAGCATTTCGTGTCTGGCGCTGGGTGTTTTCAGATTTTGAGTGTTTAACGTGCGTACAACATGACCATAATGGCTGACGTTGGGGTTGGAAAATCTGAATTTTTGAAGCTGAACATGGAGCATCAACCAATCAGAGAGACCTTGGTATGTGACGTAGTGGCGCATATTCTGACGGGACGGAACAACCAAGACTCTGGGAATGATGCCCTCTAACCTTAGACAGATGGACAGGCGTTCTCCAGCTGAAATCAAGCACCTGTAGTCAGTGTCCTGGCAGGAGATGTAGGCCAGAAGCACGTCAAACTAGGCTTGGGACAAAAATTGAGCTGAAAGCGAGCCTTGTCAGCACGCAGTTTCTGGAATAGGCAGTGAAACTTGCCAAACTTAGAAAGTCTCTAAATTATTGGGTGAATCCAGACACGGCGCAGAGGTGTCTGACGATGTTCTCTTGCTTTCATTAAATAAAGCCAAGCCCCTCCCTCAATTTTATCCTCCACTGCTTGTACAAAGAGACCAACAGAGCAGAGGAAAACAACCAAAAGACAAGCGGCTCCTACCAACGTGCATCTTTCCACACTTTGCTTGACATCCGTCTAGAGCAGGGGTGGGCATCAAGGGCTGCAGCCCTGCATGTTTTACTTGTTTCTCTGCTCCAACACACCTTTGAATGAATGGGTGATTATCAGGCATCTGCAGAACTTGAAAAAGGTAATTCAGTGACTGAATCAGCTGTGTAAAACATGCAGGACTACGGTCCTCGAGGACCAGGATTGCCCACCCCTGGTCTAGAGTGACTTGGATGCAAGTGTCTGACTTYAAAGTGAACCGACCAACTTGAGGTGTTGGATGCGCAAAACATATTTGGTCTGAACGCTGCATTAGATCAGGAATAAGATCAGGTTGAAGGACTGGGAGATWAAGTTAGAGTGGACAGACCAAAATGGTTTGGACATGTCCAGAGGAGGGACAGTTGGAATGAGGATGTTAGAGATGCAGCTGCCTGGAAAATGGCAAAGAAGGAATATGGATGAAGTTAGAGAGGACATGGAGGTAGGTGAAGTGAGGACAGAGAGAGGTAGAGGACGACTTGCTGTGGTGATCCCTGAAGAACGAACAACCAAAAGAAGGCATCATGGCGGGCTCTATAAATGTTTTCTTTTTTTGAAGTTTCAGTATTTGTGCTTAAGTCTTTTAACCACATTCTTCTTCTTTAACACCACGATCACCCTCAGTAGGATAGTTATTTTTCCAGAAGAAACATGAAGTTCTGAAGGTCAGACAACATAAACCTTGATGATAACAGGAATCAACCTCAAAGCCAAAAACATTTTGATCTCAAGTTTGTTTGATTTTTAGGTATATTTATGCAATGTTATTAAACGTATTAAGTTTCACACTGACACAAAAGAATAGCTCAATAATAAAACAGTAATACAACAATATTACTGAAATTTTGTAATTAAATAAACACATAGAATACTCAGAAATTTACGTTTAATCAAGATTGTCAAGTTGAACACATGAACAAATTGAACATATCTGACGGTAAGTATGAAAATCAGTATGACAAAAAAAAGGCAAATATGAAGGCCAGCTGGCATTTAAGGCATGAGTTAATATGAGGTAACAAAACACAATGAATACTGACAAGGTTCCAACAATAAACTTTAAAGGTGAACACATGAACAAAGCTTAGTCACAGAGCAGCAGCAGAACAGGTCAAGCTTCACTGTGGTCAGTTCTTCCATTTCTTCAACACTCAGTCACGGGAAAGTTAATCAGTTTAGCTTAATACGATTCATTAAATACTTCTGGATGGGACATTTTGATTCAACAAAGCATCTCAAATGTCCAAGTAGGGAACAGCTTTTTATTCCAAAATGAAAGGAATAATGTGAGGATTGCAGTATGTTCCATGGTTGAGCAGCAATAATTCAGTCCAACGTTATGGGCTGTTTGCTCCACTTTAGAAGACAAACACTCAACAAACATGACAGTTACACACAACCTGACAGTCATAAAGCAGGAATAAACAACAGAGTTTGATCAAAATATTTACAAAGAGCTGAATAATATAAAGTTCATATTTAAAGCTGGTGCATTCCTGCTGTACAACTGAACATTTCGGTTTCGGATATGTTTTATACCTGAACTGTGACTCTTGAAATGGTTACAAGGTCTTTGTTGATACCCTCCTCAGTGAGTAAAGTGTTTACAGCAAACATTTGTTAGCAAACAGATTTTTTGTGGGGGATGTGTTTGGGCTTACCATCCACAGAAAGTTTCTGATAAAAAAAGGTTAGATTTTATAAAAATTGTAAATTAGTGTGGACGTTAAATACATTTTCATGACATAGTGGCCTTTTTTGTGCATGTCCTTTATTTGTATGGCTTGTAGAAACCAAAACAACAATGGAGCCATTTTAGCAGATTTTTCTGTTTCGCCTCATCCTGATTTCATCATAGTCAAACTTTGTTTGTGTGCTAATTACTTAAAATACGAGAGGAAACTGAACATCTAATGTAAAAAAAGGAAGTGTTTTGGAATAATATTCTTTTTATGTAATTTGATATGTTGTTAATGTGGACAAGCTTGCCACCAAGCGGTAAAGCACGGATATTTCAGCCTTTTTCTTAGAATTGTGTGGGTAGGAAAGTATAAACAGAGAATGAAAAGTGGTGTATATGGGAGTGATGATACATGACCCATTATAACCAACGGAATGTTTCACCTCAGAAACTAGATTTTTTTCACTACTGCATGGTGCGATCTAAATACAACGCGTGAGGTTACAAGAAAGGATTTATCTTTGACTAATGTTTTTTCCTACGGAGCCCATTCGGTGACATGGAATAAGAAAAAATGATCGTGTGGCCACGAGATAACAACGTGTGCACACGCAATGACTAACGGGTGTGCACGTGATAATTATGTTGTAACCACCACATAGCTAGTTATTGTTGTCATTTCCATGCTGACTGTTCATTGTTTACATGGACAAATATGAATTAAATTAATGTACTTTAATTTTAATAGAATGAATGACTTTGCTACGTCCGCACCTTATGTTGGGCACAAAGTAGCTATTTAGCTTTATGTGCTGCAGCCATAAGTCCCAGGTGATAATTGTTGTTTATTTGTCAAAAAAGCTTTATTATATTATTTTTTTCAAAGCTGAGCTGAGGCACAGAGGGACAGGAGCGCTCCTGTCCCTCTGTGCCTCAGCTGTGGAAGGAGTCAGAGTTATGCTGCGTTCAGGAACACAGTAAAAATCTGTTTCCTGACACACAACCCGGGTATTCATTGTCATTTCATAAATAGTCTACTATGAAAGATGATCCATTTATATTGGCATACACCAATAATAATAATAATAATAATAATAATAATAATAATAATAATAATAATAATAATAATAATAATAATAATAATAATAATAATACGTGGGCATAGTTAAACAGTTAAAGACAAAACAATGCAGGTTATATGTAATCTGACTCCAGTAATATCTGTCTATCACAAGTCTGCTCAAAATTAGCCGATTGCTGGCCACATTAATTATCGCATGGACACGAGTTAATTATCACAGGCGCATGTGTTATTGTCTCATGGGCACGCGTTAATCATCATGTGCAAACGCGTTATTACCTTGTGGCTTCGTGATATTTTTTTAAATTCTTTGTCACTGGACAGGCTCTGTATTTTCCTGAGTTTGCTCTGTGTAAAAAATAATTACTAATTATGACAGCTCAGAAACAAGCTTTTAGAATACCACAGCTGAATATGCAAGTATTTCAGTTTTATTATGGCCAGTCATGTTCTAACCATATCCTGTAATGCTGGAGACTCTGATTATGATACATTATCTACGACAATACCGTACTTTTAATTCTTGTCTTTTGGCATATACAAAAAATGACAATAAGCAATATGCCAACCTCAGACTGATCACATCAAACTCATCCTATTGTCAAATTTAGGACTGCAATATGGATGTTTTAAACAGCCTAGAGGTCTGTGCTAATGTGTGTATTATAAAAAAACTATAATATCTAAATAACTATTTTATATGAAGTAAATATCATTATGAACAGTTAAGACACTTTTTTGAGATAAATTTCATTTACATTGACAATAAAGAATTTTTCGCTTGTCTGTAAAATATAAAACTATGTTCAAAAAAATGCACATCTTTCACTTAATGTGAAACAAAAAAACGGGGTCTAATCCTGGTCTTTGTGGGCTGTTATCATGCATTTTCATTTGCTACAACACTCCTGATTTAGTCATTCATTCCTTCAAATCAGGTGTGTTGGAAAAGATAAACCGTAAAATGTGCAGGATAGTGGCCTTCAGTGACCAGGACTGGACAGCCCTAAACTAGAACATAAAAAAATGCAAATTTTTTTTCTTAAACACTTTATCACGTTCAGGAGAGTTCAGCTCAGACATTCCAAATTCAAACACAGAATCTTTCCAGCCCCACAACTCAGTGCAGCATGGTCTCTCAGAACAAAACAACATTGTGTAATAAGTTAATAAGCATCAAACTCTTCACATTATGCACAAATATCATGCATATGGAGCCATTAAATCTTTACTTATCCAGTTATATTAAAACAATGCATAGATGTAAAAAAAATCTATTACATAATTACTATTATATGTATTAAAATAAACATCCTGTACAAAAAAAAAGAAAAACAAAACACCTTGTCATAATTTTTTAAAGATTTTTTAAGGAACAGTTTTAATGCATAACAGAGGAAGTAAAAAAATAAATATCCTATGTACAATCACGCAAGCCACTCCAAGGTTATTGTCACTGCAAGGAGAAAACAAAAGGGCAAAATATTAAATGTTAGTTCAAAACGACCTCTGTTATAAAGTTAGCATTAAGCATCAGGATGCAAACAAACACAGATCGTAGCTAAACTTACTTTGTTCCAACATCCTGGTACAGGTAATCCATCATCACCCTGAGAGAAAAAGAAAAGAGATGTGAGAACAAAACATTGTTTGCTGCAAAGCGAGCAGTGTCACCCAAAAACTAGCAAGCCATTAATGTAATAAATGTTCACATAGGGTTCACAGGGTTTCAAAAAAGTTTCAAAAAAGTTTCAAAAATTTGGCGTGTGGAATCTACGTTTCACTGCATTTTTGCTGTCTACTTTTGCTGCAGCCCAGTTGTAGTGGGATGAGGGAGTTTCCCACTTATAGGTTGTGAATTTAAATGGGAAGGCCCCCTCCAGTGGGAATTCCCTGTCAGAAAGTAGAGAATTTTAGCATTCTAGTTGGCTGCTACTCAGCACAACTCAACAGCAGCCATGTTTCCATCCAATTTTAAAATTTGAGCAAACTTTTAAAACCTCTTTTTAAAAACTTTTGCGAATTAACTCCCTTTTGGAAAATACAAAACCCACCTTAAGCGAGTGTAAACCTTTTTAGCAAAATTAAGGACGTGTTTTTTTTGTCATTTTTATCCACCTTTTCTAATGCAATGCTTCAAAATGTGCATAAAAGCATTGATGGAAACATGGCTAGTGAGTAAAACTCTCATACGTTTACTTTTAATAGCATTTCTGTATTATTTATTATATGTTTAATCAGTTGTACACCTGGTGTTTAGAAGAGGACAGGTTGAAATGCAGTTTCTGTGCAGAAAATACCACATAGAGCTCAGTTGTTGTTTGTTAGCTGTGGTAAAGGCCTTGTTACACTAGACATCTTATACCAACTTATGAGACATTTTATATGTCTAAATTACTAATAAAAGTTGCATATTTGATCAATCAATCAAATCAGTTTCTAGAAGTGTCCCCCTCCGCCATTTTTTAAAATAAAATTTAAGTATGCTGAAATACTTCTTAAAAATGCATACTGTTTTAGAAAACTAACCATGCCATAGGTAAACTAGCTAATATAAAGTAACCACACAAATACTGGACTTTGTTTGTTGCAATGAAACTAATAGAAACTAATTTGTTGCAATTAATTAATTGAACATGACAGAAAAAATACAAAAGGTGTGGTTTATTTGTACCCTATTATTGATTTATAGAAGAGTTGTTGCTCCATTGTTTTTACTTCTTATAAGAAAGAAAAGAGTTCCTTCCAGTAAAACAACAACAGGGAAATTCACATGTAACATATTGTCTAATGCAACAAGAATTTCAGTACCAGGTTCAATCCATAACGATGCTGGTCAGTTGGTACTTCTGCCAAGTCATATTTCTGATTTCTACATTATTGCCATTTATTTTCGTTAGCACAGTGGTGTGAAAAAACTTACCATTTTCCCCTCATCCACAAACTGTACACACATATCAATTTTACACAGGTAAGGGAAATGGAAAACCTTTTTTTATATGTAATCTTAAACATCAGGAAAGGTATTTTGTGATAAAATGTGATTTGGCAGAAATACAACTTGTCCTGGAGCCCTATAATTCTTGCGAAACCAAACCATGACTTACATTCAGTTTGTAATAAACATTTTCAAAAATTGTAGAAGTAATGGCAAGATGCAGAAAAACATCTACTGTATTTGTTTGTGTGGGATCTGGCCCTGCTTGTGGCCTTGTGTTTGGTTTCATTAGCTTTCAGATAACAAGTCTTGGTTAGGGTGTTTAGATCTTATTGAATTAATAATGCAGCCAACTTCATGGTTAAAAGCAATAAATTTTAGCATACATAGCCAACCCATTCTCACTCCCGACTCATCAACGTACAGGTAGCAGTCTGCGTCCAGCTTCAGACACGTCGGGTACCCCCTCGTGTCCATTCTTAAAAAGATGAGGCGGAGGAGCACGTTGTCATATTCTTTGAAAAGAGTAGGAAACGCGCAACCTCTAACCGTCCCAGACCCTAAATTTAACTTCTTTTAGCCCTATACAGCCTATCCCCGACCTCACTAACTAAAATTAACCATTAACCCTGATCTCTCATTTTAACCATTTTTGAAAGTGTAAAGAATGCATGAGAACTAACCATCCCAGACCCTAAATTTAACTTCTATTAACCCTATACAGCCTATCCCGACCTCAGTACCTAAAATTAAACATTAATCACGAGCCCTCACATTAACCACAGACCCCCAACCCAAAGACCCCTGAGTGACGCAACACAGAAAAGCCACAGGCAGCAATGACTGACGCGAGGGGGGTACTTGACATATTAAAAATGGATGCAGACCAAGCGTCAATATGTTGACGAATTGGGAGTGAGAACGTGTTGACATGGCAGGTCTTTGGCTTAATTTGACCAAATAAAGCCCTTTTTGACCTGTGGTACTTTGTTGACTAAACAGAGAGAAAAGGTCATGCAAAAATAAATAAATAAATAAATAAATAAATAAATAAATAAATAAATAAATAAATAAATAAATAAATAAATAAATAAATAAATGTGTATGTAACATCTAGAGAATAGTTTTAAAGTTTTGTTTATTTCAGTTATAGTTAGTAACAGTGTTAGAAAAGCATTTAATCACAATATAAAAGTTTAGTAATGAACTGATGAAGTGTATTTATCATGAAAGGGTTAATTAAAATTAGTTTCTTTTTCTCATTGTGACCACTTGTAACTTCCATGCACGTGTGAATGTTGTGGTCTTTATTTCTACTTTTTGCCTCAGTAATCACAATTACTGTATTTATTAATGTATAATACCAAAAATTTAAATCATTAAATCATCCATAAAGTGGGAGGGTAGTATTACACTCGGGTTATTGATGATTAGATTTTTAATGCTTTTTAAGCAAAAAAATTATGATCGTATTTATACTGGAGATCGTATTATACATGAATAAGTACAGTAGCTGTGTCATTAAGAACAATACAGACATGCTGGGAAAAGTGAGAGGAAAGAAAGAGCACCATACCACAGGGCAAGGGGCATCCAGCCCATCCAGGCCTGGCAAGCCCGGTTCACCTTTCTCCCCTTTAAAGCCTCGGAAACCCTGTTGTGAAATCAGCCATTTAATATCGGTTTGTGCTGCTCATGTGCAGCACAGCATGTGCTGCCTGATACCAGGAGGAGCTCCACGTTTGTCCACTGGTTGCAGGTTGCCTAAACGTGCAGGCAATCTGGGACTGGCAAGAACCAGGCTCACTTAGATGGTAAATGGCATCTATTTAGAATCATCTGCGATGAATAACTAAGCAAATATTGGTGATTAGTTTTGTGTATAAAATAATTGTGGCTTGGATTCTGTTTCTGAAGGCACAGAAAGAGCCAGTTGAGGAAGGGCACACGTGAGATCAGAAAATACAAAGGTCAAGGTTTTAAACAAGATAGATGTTAGTTAGAGGAAGAATCATTGGAGAGTTGTTGATGTCCATCAGCAGTGACTCTTTGGTTTTTGCCAGTCTCTTCTCTGAAAAAAAGGGGTCCTCAAGCATAGTTGTGGTCTGATGTTTAACAGGAAATGTTTTTTTAATTTGGTAGATTTGCTTTAATGTGTTTATCATGGCTCGTTTTAATTTTCATTGAGCTCTTATTATATTACTCTTATATCTATTAAGATTGGAGAGGTAAAACCTAACCACAATGTTTCCTGAGGATTATTAGATACTGAATCCAAGAGCCAAAGGGAAGCTAGCTCCTGAATTCTTCAGGGTTAGGATTAGAAGTGCTGTGGGATTATGTTGTATTCTGAAACAGAGCTCCTTCCCGTTGCCTCTTGGTTTTCCACATTAAACCACTGACATACCAACGGACAGGGGGCATCTAATCCAGGTGCTCCTTGGTCTCCTTTATCCCCTTTGGCCCCCCTGTTGCCTTTCTTGCCCCTCTCTCCCTGCAAACAACAGCGTATTAAAAAAAGACAAACTGTAATCCTCCTCAGTAAGCCACACACACAAAGCAAATGTGTTGTTTTCTAATATGACATCTGTTCAACACGTGTAATTTAGGCAGTATGAGAAATTATTCAAATTTCAATTTTATGCCTTTTTATTGTTTTAAAAGGCAATATGATTTTAGAATGTGATTTTAGTAAAAAGGAAATGTAAGTAGAGGGGGTTAGAAAAGGAAAATCAAAACCATTTGACTTGGTGAGCAGGGTTTTTATCATACCTGTAAACTGTCAAAATGTGATTTTAATTTTGGAAAGACTTAAAAAATATGCAAAAGCTAGAGTTTGCTTTGATTCTGTTTGATTATTTGATATGTTGTCTGGCCAATAAATGAGTCACACACTAATATATTATTTATTCTACCTCCAACTCTGGTTATGGCACAAATTTATTCAGTGGTATAAATTCCTCAAGCTTACCGCATCTATTGTTACAGTATTTATTTTTAGCAAAATATGCATTATTTTTTTAGCAAATTCTCACAGACATAAAAACTTTAGCACTGTGAAGCAGTGGTTTAGTGTGGACATGATTTGATCTACATGCATTCTATTCTGAATAAAAGCCTAGTGCATGTAAACTCTCCTCATGTCTGGAGTGATAAATTTTGCACTCATATAAACAAAACATTTGGATTATTTAATACAGATACTGAACATTTACTACAGAACATTTCAATCCGCCCAAAAATTTGTGTTGTTTGCAGGATGCTGGCATCTATAATGGGCACCAATAGGTGTACAGAGTAAATTAACAGTGTTATCAGACAGTTGCTGGGCATCAAAACAGTGAGTAAAGGTCACCAGACATAATTGATGCCCCATGCCTTACAAATATTTGACAAAGTTGGATAGAAGTTACATTATTGCATGGCAATGACTAGTTGTATCATGTAGCTGATCAGTATGATTGGTTTATCGAGAAGTACAGATCTTATAGTGGCTTTATCTTGGATAAAATAGGTGAGTACACCTACACACGCATTCTGAAGGCTTCAGAGACAAAAAACACTGAGGAACAATTGTTGTATAATGTGTGCCCAGTATTGGGGAACTTCGTGCCATCTGTACCTGCCATCCAGTTCAGGTAATGGACCCTTTGCTTCTCCTTGAGTTATCCCATTGTGTGTGAACATTTGCCATTAGCCAGACACTGGTTTCATCGTCTCATGGCTGCCATTCCAGAGTTTGGCATTAGGTTTAGTGGCCTAGCCAAGAGGAATAGGGTAATAAAGCCGAAGTCTCCATATCAGTGTTTCCCTCAGTCTGTGGGTGTGATTGTGGGTGGATCGTCAGCACGTGGCTTCAGTTGTTGTGGAGAAAAAGGGCAAAAACCCCCCCAAAACAATGTGGTTTTATTGTCTGGTAGTCTGACTACCGTATTTTTCGGACTATAAGCCGCAACTTTGTTCCTGAACTTGGAACCATGCGGCTTATAGTCCGTTACGACTTATACATGGATTTTTTTCTTCAGCCACCAGGGTGCTCTTATGCTCCATTTGCTTCAACCACTCGCTTCAAAAAAAGAAGAAAAAGGTTTTGTAATTTCAGCCTAAAAGTCCATTTACAAAACTCTGTCTGCATACTCTACATTTTTTGTCGATGAAAATATAGCTCTTGCAAAAAAACATTTGAAAACTGCATAATGTATTGGAGCCGAGTACAGTGACGTCTTCAGTCATGTTCCAATCACACAATTAGAAGCAAGGTTCAAGTTTTTTTTTTTTTTGTGAATCAATCTTGTAAAAAAAATTTTGAATTCAGTCCCCCGCTGAACACTATATGTTCCAAGCTGTACTATATAAATCATCTTATAGCACAGCCTTATCAGTAACGGAATTTAATTTAAATTGTTGTTTTAGGTGTGACTCTGACAAAGATGGAGAATATGTCCAAAAAGCAAAACATAAACCTAATAAAGATATTAGGTACTCTATTTGTTACGGTGAAGAACAAGTATGGTATATATTTTCAGTTTTCTAAGATATGGTAATCCTAACAAATGAAATCAAAGGTAACTGAACTTCTTTTGAGTCTAAGGTTTTACACTGCACACATTTCAGTTTTTAATTAAGAAACATTTCAGACAAGAAGCAAATTATTTAAAAAAAATTAAAAAGGAGTACTTGTTGCCTTTGAATCAGTTTATTAGGTTTAGATACAATATTTAGACTGACCAAAGTATTAACAGGACACCTGCCCACCAAAGTCATTGGCTTTTTTGGGTCCATATAAAAGATTTAAACATTACATGTAAACAGTCCAGACCAGTGATTCTTAAACCGCAGGGCATGGTTATTTGGGTGGTGTTTATTTCATTGTTTAGTCTCGGCATAAAACTGTTGAAGATAAAACTAATGTTTGACCCTCATATCTTAGTCATTTTTGAGCTGCATGATTAAAAAATGTTTCTATAGAGGTCTGACAGAGTTTAACTACTAGCACTTGTGTTGTTTATTTGCTTTTTATCTGTTCAACACTTCAGTTAATCTATGCTGTTTTTAATGTGCTTTATACATTAAGTTAGAGTTGAGATGACAAAAAAACACCATTGGTTTAAATATATGGCACTGAGGACAGAGTTACTTAATCTATTTACCATCAACTGCCACTAGACTCAAAGACTAAAAGTACGTGGAAATATGTGGTAGAAATAAAAAGAAACATTGGCAATTCTTCTAAACTATGCAAGGCAGAAACAGAAGGTTTATGTGTTGTCTGAAAACTGCCAGCTGACATTATGAAGTCAAAACAATAAAAAGACAAATTGAAACATAACATCCCAACTACTTTAATCTACTCCAGTTTTTAAGAATACTACCTGATTAACAAAAATAAGAAAATCACTATAAAAACAGCATCAATGATCAATAAGGCATGAAGTCATTTATAGGAATAAAATGACTCACTTATCAAAGAAAGCATTTATTGCCAAATACCCACCTGTTTTAGTTTACCCGTAAAGACAGTTCATTATTGCTCTTTTACAACAATAAAGTAGTAGATATATTGTGAAAACCAACTAATTACAGCAACTGTGAAAATACTGAGCTTTTACAAATTTGTTGGATTTGTGTGCAGAGATTCAACTTTATTCTTATCGTTCTAAAGTGCTGATTGTCTATTTCTATACTTACAATAAATCTTATGTCAGCACCTGACTGGCAGCAGCTGGAGGTACCAGAAGCTCAAAACAACAACAAAATAAACAGTTTAGCAGTAAAGGTTTGGCAAATCTTCATGTGTGAAACCCAACGTATATTAGCTCTTCTGCTCATCCCATAAATGCATGTTCCTTACAGATGTGGCACCATTTAAAAGGGAAATTAACAGGTTTTCAAATGGCACAAGTTTTATGTTACAACAAAGAAACAATCTAACAAACACAATTTTCATTGCCTTTTGTGCTTATAGGTTACTTATTTATTTTTTGGCAAGAGTCTGTTTTGTATTGTCCAAGCAAACTGCTGTTTATTTGTTCATTTTTAGGAAAAAAACACAGTGGAAATGGACTGCCTACTGACAAAGAGTCACAAAAATAAATAAATAAATAAATAAATAAATAAATAAATAAATAAATCTTATTTTTAAAATTGTATTATGAACACAACAAGTGCAAAACTAAACTGAGCACTTTCTGTTTCAGTTTTGTTGAGGCAATAGTAAAGTATTTTTTCCCCTTACTAAATGCAAGTTTAAGAACCACTGGTCTAGATCATACCCAACCTGACCTATGTATAAGAAAAAGAAGAGGGAATGGAGGGACTGGCAAGGAAGAAGTTCTGTTAAGCAGAGAGAGGGTGCTCAAAGGGATGTGCAAGAGGAAGAGGATTAAACCAGGACTACATTAGAATGCAGGAGAAGGAGGAGGAGCAGGAGGCCAAGGTTTGTAAGAGGGAGAGAGGGCAACCCCTGCAAAAACAGCCACAGGCCACAGAACAAGGTGGAGGGAGGGAAAAGGGGATAGGAAGACCTGCGGAAACAAAGGAACACAGGACAAAGAGTAAAAACACCAACACAATCTCACAGCTTTAACTTCAACACATTCAACTGGATGATAAGATTTAGTTGTGTTCGTGAACATGTAAGTGTCCCGCTTGGATCTTGGAGTGGACATTGAAATCAAGGCCAGTTGAATGTGCTGAGAGAGCTTTTAAATTAAGATGACTTAAAAGATGGGAGGGAAAAAATTAACAGAGTCACAGGTTAATGAGATGGAAACAAAAAACATTCTGAAGGGAAGAGAGTGTGGGCTCTACAAAGAAAAACTGCCTGATTCACAGCGACCTGGGATTTAAACTGAATTTATTTCAAAGAAAAATGATGGGCTGATTCTTAATCCAACTAAAATAAGTCTTAATGTGCACATAATGTTTGGTTATCAATGTACAGTAATGGTGTAAATCTGAATTTTATATTGAACACTCAAGAGGAGGCAAATGGCAATCTTGAAGGTCATTACCATTAACACATTTTTCATGAATAAAAAATACAGCTTGAGCATTAGCAACAATTATTCATGCCTTTTCATCTAGTTTGTTTTGAAGTCTATCAGTAAATGGGAGATTTAAAACAGAGCCACTGCAACACACATAAATGATAAAACATCTTGATATAATTTATTCATAATCATGCACTATATCAAAGAGAACATTTATTAATCATATGCACCTCTTTAATTCACAGCTCTGCCTTGAGAGAGTCTTAGAAAATCTGTTATGGCTTCAGAAGGCAAATTCAAGGCTATTGAAAGGTTGAGAGGTTAGCAACATCGTCGATCCAAACAGCCACCTGGTCTGTTGTAATTACTCTCATCGATAGTAATGAGCTGTTGAAAATATAGCTAGTTTGTTTATCTTTGTAAAATCCTCAGTGTTTTAATCTGACAGAATCACTATTTCTACTAACACTTTTACAGAGACAAACCAATGCTGGTAGTTCTTACCCGATTTCCTTTGAGTCCTTGTGGTCCTTCTAAACCCTGCAAACAGAAATGAGACGGCACTGATCCCATGTGGTGCAGGTGAAGATAGACTCATATATAGTATATATAAATATTTGTCTACAAATTTAAATCTTAAGCATGTTATTTTTAGTTTTCCTGAGGGAAAGATGTCACTATGACCCAGATAACTTCTCTTAGAGCCGGGGTGTCTGCCAACATCATAAAAATGTACCTATTCATATATTTGAACAATGATGTATGAATTATGGTATTTCTAAATGATGAACTGTAAGTCTTAAGTATCACTGTCTCATCACGTAAAATGGGTAATTGTTGTTTGCTGYCAAAAGGTGAACGATAATGTTTTGGCCGGAGACTGAGTTTGTCTTTGTTTTTCCACCATGTTAGCAAACTAACTCATGAACCGCTAATGAAATAATTTTAATATCAATAATCAAATCAAATAAAAAATGCTGTATTCATTGGTAACCAATTAATTTTTGAAGTCAGCCCAATTAAAGATGTTTACCACAGACAATCAACCTTACCCAACACAAAATGATTACACCTCAGTATTTATACAGCCAGAACCAGTAATGATTCTACAGACTAAATCAACTATCCTCTGAAAAAAAGTCATAAAATAGATTTTTTTTCAATCCTCCATTTGTGGCATACCCTAGAACAGAGGAGCCCAAAGTGGGGCCCGCGGGCCAAATTTGGCCCGCCAAGCCATTTGATTTGGCCCACCAACAGTTGCCAAAGTTACAAGGTTGTAACCTGTTATCCTATAGGTAGAAACGGTATTTACATTGGTCAAATGATTATATAAAAGGGCTGTAGTGAAGGTAGTTTTCAGTCATGGTAATGACATATCTTTGGTTTATTAGAATTAAACAAGAAACATGAAATGACAACAAGAAATATTTAGATCAGATTTAACCCCGCATGTAGATTTGCACACTTTATAAGGCCACAAAAACTCATATTTTATCAATTTATGAAATGTCCCATGAGCCTTTGGTACTTGAACGTATGGCAGACTTTCTGCAAGTGCACAGACTAAAACAAAAGAGGGCCATTGCATAGCTTAATGGTTAAAAATAAAGGACTTTACTTTTAAAAAGTATTTGTATTTTGTGTATTATATAACTGCATTTGGCCCGCAGCCATGGATAGATTTTCATTTTGGTCCCCTCGGGGAAAATGTTTGGGCACCCCTGCCCTAAAAGGATGGCGCTCCTAACATTTGCCTATGCTCCCCATGTGCCACGGCCTTGCTAAGCTCCAGCAGATCAACTTGAGAGATGTATGACACTATTTTCAAAGTTGGCTAAAAGTTTGCACTTTTCAACATAATATTTTGGTTTAAAAGCAGTATAGTATGCAATCCTCCAGAGAATGTTAGACCTTGTTCTAACATCTAATTTTTTTAATTTTCCAGAACGTATTGACTATGCCATTTTTATATTTTGCAACAAAGTTACATGGTATTTTATGCATCATTATAGTGAGAATAGCAACAATATTTTGATTTACATATAGTTTAATGAGTGGATGATGATGCTGTCAATATGTTTGACTGAAGACCCTTGTGTTAGATCTTCACTGATGAAAGATTTCATTTAAACTGAATACGTAAAACTAAATTTCAGACTTACAGGGATGCCATGTGGCCCTGTTGGTCCTGGTAATCCTGAATCTCCCTTTTCACCCTGTTGCAAAAGAAAAAAGTCCAAATGTTAGAGTTTATATATATATATATA